ATATATATATATATATATTTTAGTTAAAATATTTTCTGAAATTTCTATAGCTCGAATCGAATAAAAAATACATGATTTTACTTAAAAAAGCAAATTCAATCTTAAAAAGCTTTCAACATTGGAAAATAATAATTCTACGAGCTTCTCTCTCGAAATTATTTAACTTTTGTTTAACTAAAACTTTTTTTGGATATAATTAATCGTTTCGAAAATATTTCAGCTTCTACTCTCAAATGACTATACATACAGAGTGATTCACGCGTTATTGCACCCCTGAAATAACTTTCGAATTATGCGTCTAATGAAAAGTTGTTCAATTACAAAAAGTTGGCTTTACTCCCTTTACGGGAGGCGTGTCAAATTTTCAAGGTCATCGTTACTCTTTTCCTAATCGGACCACATATATTTTTCATCGCGAGTCGAAAGAATGTCAAAAGAATATTAAAATTAAAAAAGAAAGTGTTAAGCTACATTGGTCCTAAACCTAATTAAGGACTCAAGAAGATATATATTTTATTAATTTTATTAAAATGTAATGTAAGATACAATACGATTGAAAAAACAGTCTGGTCTCTCGACAATCGAACAATTTCCAACCAGAGTTAATTTCTCGAGCGTGTCGCGGCTTAAAGCTTCAGATTCCTGGAGTTGATTCGTTCGACGTGACGCGTACACGCGTGTTTAATATACTTTTCGGCAAGTTGTCCCGAATTAATTAGCTCGGCTGTCAGCATCGCGTCACCGGACAGATAATTCCATCAGCGTCAGGCACAACTTTAATTAGCGCTTTGGGCGGACTTCTCGATTAGTATCGATCGAGCCGGCGATTGCCAGTTCGTTTGACAAAAATACGCCGCAGCGTATGTCTGCCGATGGAGCTCGACAATGCGATTACCGATTCAATCCGTCTCGCGATTGATAACTCCGTGACTGTTCGTGAAATTCACGGTGAACACACCGTGAAAATGGAAACGTTCTCGATGTTTTCCATTGGAGGATACTGAGATACGGGAATTTGCATATCTCTTTCAACTATTTAAATTATTCTTCGTTGCTGTTTCCTTATTCGTTGATTATTGTATGGTTGTAGATGACTTTTAGATTTTTATTTTCATGTCGCAATGTTAATGAAATTTCCAAATGCTTTCATTTGTGTACAGTTAGCCACGAAAATACCGAGTACATGCGTTTATCAAATTTTGAATATTTATAGTTGTATGAAATAAGTGTTTGGGACATTTTACAATAAAGTACTTAATATAATAATAAGAAGAACGTATAATGTAACAACAGCAATTGCACAATTTAAATTTCGTAAATTTCTTTATTTGTGTTTCTCGAGTAAACAACAACGTCATTTCCTCATTTCATTATGTATAACTTTAATCAATGTGCAAATCGCTGTCCGTAAAATGTTTCGAATTCTTGTCTCTCTCCCTTGTTTCGTGATTGACTGTGCAAGTTCTCCATAAAATAATCTGAAACGATTATCTTCGAAACGAAATAGATCATCTTTCTAAAAAGATCTCTCGAAAGAAGCCATTTCTTGGTCTTCAACAAACGAAAAGTTTGTTCGAGAGACAGAAAGGAGAAACCCAATGCGAAGTAAAAGATGATCTTTTACGTCGTTGGAATATCATTGAAATTCGATAATAATTCCCAGAGTAAGTTGTCCGAGTAAACAAGCTACGTATGCGAACAGTCGATCGGGCTTTCCAGCATGGAAGCCTAACACATAGGTGGATATATCGGCGTAAAAGTCATCGTTCACCTTTCCCTAAAAGAATTACGCCGGTGTTCAGCGCTTGTTTTCACCCCTCAATTGTTCGCGCTAAAAATAAAGGACGCGCCGCTTTAAATAACACACCCAAAGAGTTTAACGAGAGCGATCGTGTTCGCCAGTGTTTGCCCGACGGGCAGTCGGATCCATTAAGAAACTCCACGCCCATTATATAGGCAAATTCGTTAAATTGCCTGGCAAATATCAGTCGTCTCCATTAGCCAGGAAATCGACGAGCCTAACCTAAAACTAACCTAATTTAACCTATTTTTTTTTTACGTGGAGGAAATCTTCATAAGACACATGAGTCTTTTAAGAAAAGGTAGTGTCGGATTTTTATCGACTAAAACCTCCACGCTGTCCTTCGCATATTGGGAGAGTTCCGAGACCTTTTTATACACGCAGAGTTCTTCCGTGCTGTTGTCCTAAAGGACAATGTCTTTTTTTTTCGCCCAAACAGGGGCCTCGAACTCTGGACCCTCAGATTAAGAGTCTTTACCGACTGAGCTATCCCCACCTACTAACCTAAATCTAACCTAACCTGAAACCTAACCTAACCTAAATCTTTTCATTATCGCGCATCGTTTAAAGTCGGGACGAATATTCGCAAAGTAATTTGCAAGGAATTTTATTGCGAAATTTGGACATTTAGTTAATGTTTTATTCTTGATTTATTAATTCTCGGACATCACGATCTCAAGCGTACTTTGATAAATCTTCTGACAGGGCACTTTTGATAGGGAAATTATGTCGAAAGAGAAGTGAAAAGATGGAACGTAACGAGAGTTATTTCTGTTGGATGAAGAAAAGAACCTCGGAAAGGAAAGGGCGAAATTGTTATATACGTAATAATATTTTATAAATTTTGATATTTCGTAAGTCTTACAGATTTTCATCAATCTTTCAATTTTTTTCTCCTTGTGGAACTGTGCTATGTTCCAGGTGGAGCAAATCACGGCAGAGTACAAGGTGCTGGCTCTTCAATATCATCCGGATAAAAACGAAGGCGACAAGGAAGCTGAACGAAAGTTTCAGCAACTGAAGGTTCGTTTCCTCGGTCTTTTTTCCCTTCTTTTTTCTTTATTCGCGTATGGTCGAACGGGCAACTCGGTGACTCACTCGGGAAATTGTTGCACGATTGCTCCATTCGCGTTGATTTACCTCGTCTCGACGGTACGATCTAATCAATGTATAATTGACACGATTGTGTAGTCGGTGAAATCTATGAAATATTACGGTTATACTGCACGATGTTAGAAAATTGCACTCGTCGCTTCAGTTTTTTTTTTACAACTTGGTCAATCCAATTTTTGTTACGTAACTTAGCGAGAAATGCAATTTATGTAGATGCCTATTTATAGGAAATTCAAATGTTTATAAGAAAATGTATAAAATTTCTAATACTAATTATTTACAATTATCTCCATATTATTTACAAAATTTAGCATCTATCGTTCCATTTCTCTACAAGTATGAATTCGCTCGAATATTCAATAATTTATATCACATCAACACGCTGGTGGCCAGTATTTTTCATTAAATTACCTCAATTTCCTCTCTCTCCCTCTCCCTTTCTTTCACTTTGCCGGAAAATTGAAACTGAAACGACGTTAATTAACACGTTAACGATAACGAGAACGTGAATTTGAAATGACGTGGATCCACATTTCGCGGTTAATGGAACGTGTGTTACATCACATTACGTTATACTATTATATTTATGTCTCAATTTACAAACGATTGTACTTGCCCATGACTGTGATCGTAACGAAGGCAAACGCGATTTTCGTTTCGTCGTAGCACGCGAAGGAGATTCTTTGCGACCCCGAGCAAAGGAGCAACTACGACAAATGGAGGCGTAGCGGGATCGCCATCAGCTACAAGCAGTGGCTTGGAATGAAGGACCACGTGCATCAGGTGAGGAAAAATCCTTCGGTGACGTTTTGCTTGTCTAACGGCGGAGAGAGGAATCGTGCGAGAAACTTCGCGTTTTCGACTGTCTTCGACGTTCTTGGTTCTTTGCAATGTACAACTTTTCGTAAATAGGAAACTGGTATTGGGGCACGAAGGGAGGAAGAATTTGAAGTATAAGTTGGTAGATTTTGGGGAAACTTCGTACGAAGATTTTGATTTGAAGTCTGAGGAGTTTCTTTTCAATAGATTTTCTAACGAGTCTGTTATTCTTCCAACTAGCCAGTTATTCTTCTAATTATACATGGAAGCAATTTTTCTATGATTCAGTAGCAGAAATTTCTCGCACGATGCGATTAAATAAACGTCCTAATAACGTTGAAATATTCCAAGCAACCACTTCTAATTTTCCACTTATCCTATCCTCTAAGCTCGACTTAACACAGTTCCGCGAGCAGACTGGGTCACTTGCGAACGTAGAGAACATTTAGGATTATCGAAGAAGTTATGCCAACGTGATACTAAAAAAACGTCTACAAATTTTTTAAAATAAAATATATATTCGCCAATAAAATAAGCAAAAGAACAAGAAGACACGAGTTCTTGGAAGAGTGAGGATTCTCAATAAATTCTTAAAGGGAAACGTAATTCTTAAACGTTGATTCAAAAATCCACAATTTCCACTATTAATTTGACAATCAGCGGCTTATACAAATTATTCAAGAACCCAAGAAATACATACATAGAATGATATCGAGATTATACTATTTGTTGTAACATTTAAAGAATCAGATCTCTGGCTCTGATCGCAAAAATAATTGAACGAAAATTCGTCGCGAGTGACTCGATCTGCTCGCCTGCCTCTAATTCCACAATTAGAACGAATTGAAAAAAAAAGAAAAAAAGAGAAAGAAAAGAAATAAAGAAAGAGGATAATGCGCCGTAGTCGATGCACTGGAGTACACCGAAGACGAAGGATCGCATGCTGCAGGACGCGTCTGGCGAGGCGTCTGCTGGTTCCCCTGGCCACACCCTGGCCAAGGCGCAGCCGACGAACGCTCACAGAAGGGCCTCGGAGGGTGGCGCAAACATTTACTACGGGGCACGTCGTGACCTCGGCTGGGACTCGGAGGCGCCCAGCGAAGTGGTGAACAAGTTCCGCAACTACGAGATCTAAAACCGAGCGACCGAGTTCTCCTCTACTTTTCGGATCGTCCTTTGGATCGCTCGCTGTGTATGTCTTTTTTTTTTTTTTTTTTTTTTTTGGCGAATTCTCCGGAGGGAAAAAAAGGAAATGAAAACGGGACGAAGCACCCGTTACGAATTTACAATAAACATGGCGTTTACCTCTCGTCATTGTCCAATTAAGAGAGAACCGGAAGAGAGGACGTTTGAATGGAATTTTTCCTTTTTTTTTTCTTTTTTTTTTTTAATATTCGAACGTTACTTCTCTTTCTGCGTTCGTCGTGATTTTTATTGTCATCGAGGAGGAGGAGTGCGTTGATTTTATCATTGAATTCGATTCGAGATTTGTGGATTGCGAGCGCTCGGAAGGAAAATATTTGAAGATTCCGGCGCGAGTTTTCGTTCGTGGAACCGAGCGGATTATCCGCAGAGGAGCCTCTGTTGAAGTCGATAGCCCTCTCTGCGAATATAAAATAAATAGCGGCGTCGATGGAATAAAATTGCGTGCCCCGAG